TTTAGGGGGAAGCTTTCCAGGAGGAGCAATTTGTTTAAATGTAAAATGAACCAAGGACAATTTTTGAGAGTTTTGCATTTAGATTTCATTAGTCTGAAGTAGTAGAATAAATGTTTTTGTGTGTATTTATCTGTATAGAACCATGGACTGGTTTGGGTTGGAAGGGACCTTAAAGGTCTTCTCATTCCACCCCCTGCCATGGGCAGGGACACCTTCCACTAGAGCAGGTTAATCGAAGCTCTCCTTGGACATTTGCAGAGATCCAGGGGCAGCCACAGCTTCTCTGGGAATTCCATCCCTGCTCCTCCCCACCCTCCCAGGGAAGTATTTCTTCCCAGTCTCCCATCTAACCCTGCCCTCTTTCAGTCAAAAAACCATTGCCCCTTGTCCTGTCCCTCCAGGCCCATATCAAAAGTCCCTCTCCCTCCTTTTTATAAGCCCCCTTCCCTGGTGGGGTGTCTTCAGCTCCTCCCAGGACCTGTGTGTGTCTGTATCTATCTTGTATCTGTGTATATTTAGAGACAGGATATATTTTAATAGATTTCTATCCATATATTTATACATAGATATTTACACATTGTAAATATTAATGCACACATATGAACGCAATGATGTTAACTTTGTGTCCAGACCTACACCTTCCCCTCTGTAACCTTTTGGGGGGGTTTATTCCTTGGGATTTCCAGGGTCTCAGTTTCAGTGGAGCGGATCTTTCCCACCTGGATCTTTGCTGCATCAACTTCAAGGGGACCAATCTGAGCCGCTGCAACCTGGCCCGTGCCAACCTGTGCTGTGCCAGCCTGGAGAGGGCTGACCTGTCAGGCTCTGTGCTGGATGGAAGAGCTGCTGCAGCTTGGGAGGGCTGGGCTTGTGTTAACAGAGAGGAGCTGGAACAAACAGAGCGGTGTAAAACATCGAGTTCTTAAATATATTCTAGAGTTGTTCTGGTTCCCAAAGCTTTCACACTTCCTCCCAGTAATGATTTAATGGGATTGACTCCCAAAGCAGAAATTAAAACTGTCTCCTTGATTGTCTTTGGTGTTGTTCTTCCAGCTCTCAGTGACTCCTGTCTGTACCAGGGTGCCAACCTGCCAGGGGTGAAGATGCTGCGCTCCAACGCAGAGGGAGCGTCCCTGAAAGGCTGCAGCTCTGAGGACCCATCAGGCCTTCAAGCTAATCTGGAAGGTAAGAAGCTTTTGCCTTGTCAATCTGTGCCAGCTGAAGCCTCTGTTTGTGCATTTCTGTGGCCCAGAAAAGGTCCAACTGTGGTTTGTCCAACCCTGAGAAGGGCCCACAAGGGCTGCCCTGAGTCTGTGACCATCTCAGCCCGAAATGCCCTTGTCCTCCTCCAATTCACACAGCTCTGAGGCAGCCCCAGTGTGGAGCTGCTGTGTTTCTGACTGTTTTGCCTCACAGAACTCCTTTCTGTGTGTGTTCCAGGTGCCAACCTGAAAGGAGTGGCCATGGAGGGCAGTCAGATGACAGGAATGAACCTCCGAGTTGCAATGCTGAGAAACCCCAAACTAAAGAACTGTAACCTCAGGGGAGCAACGTTGGCACGAACTGATTTGGAAGTGAATTGGGATTCATTTTCCATCCTATTCCTTTCTCTCCTACAGTCAGCTGGTAATTGGGGGATTGCTGGCTTTTGACTGACCTCTCCAGCTTCAGACTCCAATGGAGTTCAGGTAAATGGACTTCCAGTAAAGCTTTGAACAGAGTTCTGGGTGCATTCCATTGACACTTCTTTTTCTTTTCCCCTTCCCAATTGGGACCTATCAGGTTGTGACCTCCAGGAAGCCAATTTGAGGGGCTCTGATGTGAAAGGAGCCATCTTTGAAGAGATGCTGACCCCCCTGCACTTGTCCCAGAGCATCAGATAGGGAAGAGAAGATGTCAAAGAGGAAGGAAGCCAAACATTTGTTGTGACTTTCTTCACCTCCTCCCCTTCCTGAGTTAGAAGGAATGCTTATTAGACAACTTCCATTTGCAGTAGTGCCTAAGTAGACTCTTTCTGATCACTTTTGGGGAGGGAATTTTTGTTTCAGAGGTGGAAAGAGAGAGTTTCTCCCTTTGTGAAGAGAGTGAAGAAGTGGGCTGGTTGTGAAACCAGAAAGTGGGGCTGGTTTGGGGGGGAGGGTTCAAGAATTTCATTGTTTAGCATTGCCTGACTTTGGAGTGCATTTTAATTTCTAAAGCACAATATATGCAATTCTATTTGTTAAGTCTGTAGCTGCAATACGAATAGAAAATGTTATTGCTGTATAGTAGCAAAGAAAGTTGAGGTTTCCAGGTAGACAAGTGTCTTTACAGTCAGTGTCTTCATTCCTGCAGGGTGTTAATGCCAGGGGTGGTCACACAGTGCCCACAGGATGTGTTCAGGTCTCTGCTGGGGTGGAAAGAGTGGGGAACTGTCCTCAGAGGTCCTAAATTGCTGTGGAGTAGTTGGAGTGCAGGTTTAGAGCAGTTTTATCCCCTCAAATGTGCAGAGGAAGCTGCTGCCCCTGCAGGGACCTGCCCAGAGCCCGGATTGAGTTCCCCCTGGAAGATCCCTGGGCAGAAATGGGATGTCTTAGTTAATGCTCTCCAAAGAAGTGTGAAATTGCACTCTCAATCCCAGCTGGGAAGAAAATTTCCCCTGCTTCCACATGTCCTGACCACTCCAGACTGGAGTTCCTGTAGCTTTTTCCTTCTTTGTTGGGAATTCAATGGACAGAGGAAAACACAGAACTGTCCCCAAAGCAGAGAGAAACTCTGGGGCCACAGCACCTGCTCCCCCCTCTTCACATCCCTGCAGTAGGTGAATAAATGGCCCTCAATGTTTCCCCTCAATGTACTCTGCAAATCCCCCTTGAAATCATGGGCATAATCCCATTTGCAAGCCAGATCCACTTTGGGCTGCTTAAAGTGACTGTAAAAGCATCTTGCCTGGGGCCAAGTGCCCCTTCCACACTTGCTTTACCTGTGGAAAAAAGCAGGGAAAGCTGTTTTTTATGTGAACACCCTTCATGTCTCAGTGTTTTGATCTTGGGAATCCTCACGAACCTGGAACAATGCCAGATTATCTGCTGTTGTGAGATATGTAGGTGGAGATTGTTTTGATCTGTTTAAATCTCTGTTGCAAAAAACAACTGATAGAAAACAATGTTAAAAAAAAGGAAAAAAAAAAAAAGAGAAAAAGGCAA